AGAAAGAAAGAAAGAACGTAAAGAAGTAAAGAGAGAAAGAAAGAAAGAAAGAAAGTAAAGAAGTAAAGAAGTAAAGAGAGAAAGAAAGAAAGAAAGAAAGAAAGAAAGTAAAGAAGTAAAGAAAGAAGTAAAGAAAGAAAGAAAGAAGTAAAGAGAGAAAGAAAGAAAGAAAGAAAGAAAGAAAGAAAGAAAGAAAGAAAGAAAGAAAGAAAGAAGGAAAGAAAGAAAGAAAGAAAGTAAAGAAGTAAAGAAAGAAGTAAAGAGAGAAAGAAAGAAAGAAAGAAAGAAAGAAAGAAAGAAAGAAAGAAGGAAAGAAAGAAAGAAAGAAGTAAAGAGAGAAAGAAAGAAAGAAAGAAAGTAAAGAAGTAAAGAGGTAAAGAAAGAAAGAAAGAAAGAAAGAAAGAAAGAAAGAAAGAAAGAAAGAAAGAAAGAAAGAAAGAAAGAAAGAAAGAAAGAAAGAAAGAAAGTAAAGAAGTAAAGAAAGAAGTAAAGAGAGAAAGAAAGAAAGAAAGAAAGAAAGAAAGAAAGAAAGAAAGAAAGAAAGAAAGAAAGAAAGAAAGAAAGAAAGAAGGAAAGAAAGAAAGAAAGAAGTAAAGAGAGAAAGAAAGAAAGAAAGAAAGTAAAGAAGTAAAGAGGTAAAGAAAGAAAGAAAGAAAGAAAGAAAGAAAGAAAGAAAGAAAGAAAGAAAGAAAGAAAGAAAGTAAAGAAGTAAAGAAAGAAAGAAAGAAAGAAAGAAAGTAAAGAAGTAAAGAAAGAAAGAAGTAAAGAAGTAAAGAAAGAAAGAAGTAAAGAAGTAAAGAAAGAAAGAAGTAAAGAAGTAAAGAAAGAAAGAAAGAAAGAAAGTAAAGTAAAGAAGTAAAGAAAGAAAGAAGTAAAGAAGTAAAGAAAGAAAGTAGTAAAGAAAGAAAGAAAGAAAGAAAGTAAAGAAGTGAAGAGAGAAAGAAAGAAAGAAAGAAAGAAAGAAAGAAAGAAAGAAAAAGAAAGAAAGAAAGAAAGAAAGAAAGAAAGAAAGAAAGAAAGAAAAAAACACACACAGACACACACACACAGACACACACAAACACACACAGACACACAATTTGGGTTAATGTTGAAAGCTACAAGTTAAATATTTACCTCAAAACCCTTTCTGAACCTTTATCTTCAGCTTTACTTTAAGGTTTTGTGTTACTAGAGTAAAAACAGTGTTTACCCAAACTGAAGGAGTCTTGGGAAAGCCAGAGACTGTGGATTTGTCTGTGTGGGATTGAAATGTGGCTCATTCCTGTGGAAAAATACACAAAAATCAAGCAGATAAAAAAAACAAAAAAACTGAGAGCTCAAAGGGACAGTTCACCCAAAAGAGAAAATTCTGCCATCGTTTACTCAGCCTTAACTTGATTATTTCCTCTTTTAAACATAGAAGAAGATATTCGAAAAAAATGTCAGAAACCTGTAACCCTTGACTAAAATACACTACCTGACAAACGACCTTCATATTACACTGAACTGAACTTCATCTGTAAAAACTGGACTGAAGCAGGTTCAATTTACTAAAACTTCTACACTAAACAGCTTTGACACAATCTAAATTGTAAAAACGTTATAGAAATACTTTGAACTGAATTTAGTGTTTAAAATAAGAAATAAAGATTCTGATGGTATGGGATAAAACTATCACGCTTTCACGCTATTGTGATGGCTACTCTAAAAATAATTTGTTTTTAAAATATCAGGGTAGAAAAATAACTACTTTTTTGGGAAATAAACTATATAATAATTAAAACAAGCTATACTGTTGCCCTCAGTAAATAAATAAAGTCTTTTAAATCACATGTAAAAATCAAACAAAAAACTATCATATACCACAGAAATTATATAACAAAAAAAATGTAAGACCTTTAAAAACTTGACTTTCCCATGACATTAGCAAAGAAAATAATTTTACAAAATTGGAAGTCAGATTACGTGCCTGTCTTTGAAACCTGGATTAGGAGCTTAAGTTATGTGTTGCCCATGGAAGAAATGAGATATGGGATGGCAAACAAACTAAACATTTTTTTTTTTTAATCTGGAACCCAATTATGTTTTATATCAGTTGTAAATCTTTAAAGGTGGGATTGGTTTGGCATATGTCGAGTTGCGGAGCCTACACATTTCTCTGTAAACTGTTTTACATTTAATTCTATTTATTTCTCTTATGATTTCTGGATGATATTGTATTATGTTGTGTCCGACTATTTGTTTATTTTGAAACTCCCTTTGTACACCTTTTTTTCGGTCTCTTTTTTTATTCTGTTTATTTCCTTATGCTAAAAACAATCAAAAGACTATTTTAAAAAATAAAACTTGACTTTCCAAACCGCTGTGAACCTTGAAACCGGTTATCATCCCATGCGTACTTGTGAGTAAATAGTGAGTACATGTTCAATTTTAGGTGAACTCTCCCTTTAACTAACAAACACTAGAAGAGGTTTGTGGCTGAGTGTTAAACACACAAACACACACTTGCAAGAGACAAGTGGCAGCGGCGGGACGGCCAGCAGCTGTTTGAACTGGTGTGTGCTCAGGACCTCTCCGCTGAAACTGGCCTCCCATATGCGGGATCCGGGACGAGCACAGAACAGCAGAGGAGCAGGACAACCGACCAGCTGACCACGCTGACCTGCCAGACCCTGAGTGAGGAAACATGCCCCGAACTCTCCGTCCCGCTCCTTATTACCCACACGCCAGAACTTCTCCCTGACAGAGAAAGAGAGAGTGTTTATTTTATTATATATTAGTATCGTAATTATGATTATTATTGTTGGGTAACACTTTATTTTAATGGTCTATTTGAGTATTATTAGTGCTTAATATCAGCTCCTTCAATGGACATTTAACTGACTATAAGAAACTTTGCAATGTCAACTTGCACTTACCCTAACAGTCTACTTATAATCTAATGAGAATTATTTGGCATGTAGATGCAATGTAAATTAAATTCAACAAACAGACCATCAAAATAAAGTGTGACCAATTGGTGTTATAATTGTTGCAATCAATATTGTTATTAACACTACTTTTTATATTGTCTTTTTTGTTTTTACCCTGCTAAGTACACTATGAACCTTTAAAACTATGTTTTCTGAATAAAATGCTGACATGTTCAATACTTATCTCCACCCCTGTCATGCTAATAAAGTATATTTAATTTTATTGAGTGTGTGTGTGTGTGTTTGTGTGTGTGTGTGTTTATATAGTAAACGCTGTGGTTTGAAATGTTCATATGTTCTTATTTGTTCTATTGTTTATTCAAGTTTAAATTGCTTTGATATTTTCTTTTATTGTTATTATATTTTTAGAATTGTCCACTTCAAGCTTTAGCACTATTGTCATGCCAATAAAGCAGTTTTTTAATTGAGTTGAATATATTCAGTCGAAGTCGCCCCCTATGATTTTATTATTCGCCCCCCCCCCTATGATTTGTTTTCTTTTTTAAACTTTTCCCAAATTATGTTTAACAGAGCAAGGAAATGTTCACAGTATGTCTGATATTTTTTCTTCTGGAGAAAGTCTTAATTGTTTTATTTCAGCTAGAATAAAAGCAGTTTTTAATTTTTAAAACACCATTTTAGGGTCAAAATTATTAGCTTCTTTAAGCTATATATTTTCGATAGTCTACAAAAAACCATCGTTATACAATAACTTGCTTAATTACCCAAACCTGCCTAGTTAAACTAATTAACCTAGTTAAGCCATTAAATGTCACTTTAAGCTGAATACTAATATCTTGAAGAATATCTAGTCAAATATTATTTACTGTCAGCATGGCAAAGATAAAATAAATCAGTTATTAGTGATGAGTTATTAAAACTACTATGTATAGAAATGTGTTGAAAAAATCTCTCTGTTAAACAGAAATTGGGAAAAATATAAATAAACAAGGGGCTAAAAATTTTGGGGGGCTAATAAACTGTATCATGACTTCAACTGTGTATATATATATATATATATATATATATATATATATATGTATATATATATACACAAATAGAGAGAAAGAGACAAACCAGTCAGAAACATTATTAAAAAACCATCTGCATGAATGTACATGTATTGAATTTCTCCTTTTATTAATCACACTGGTCTTTTTTCTTATTTGTACATGTATTTATCAAAATTCTTATTGTGTTTTTGTGTTTGTGTGTACTATATAATCACTTTACAAATATATAATTTATGAATATGCAGTGCTTTGGCAATATTTGTAAATGCACCTGAATGTGGGAAGTCTCCTGTGCACGCATGCACGAACGCACGCACGCACGCACGCACACGCACACACACACGCACACACACACGCACACACACACACACACACGTACACACACACACGTACACACACACACCTCTCTGTGTCACACAGGTAGCAGCGGCTGAGGGACGAGATCACCAGGTGTCCATCAGTGTATCCAAGCTGAACCACGCGGGAATCCACTGTGGTGATGGTCTGAACTGGGAAGATCACAAACGCTGAGCCCTGATTAGAAGTAAAAAAGGACAGAGAGAGAAAGAGATGGCTATTCTTAAAAAAGAGAATCAGCACATTAGTACAAGACTGAGGTAATGATGCTGAAAATTCAGCTCTTCATCACAGAAATAAATTGTCTTGAAGCACAAATGAAACCAAAACAAAGCATACAGATTTAGCTAGCTCACATCGCTAGTTTTGTGGTTAACAATTCTTCTGTGCATGTCATTAAGAGAAAAAAACATTTGCCGCTGCAATCTAAAATTGAAATCTGAAAATGCACTTCCTGTTTGTTAATTCTCAGATTAGGTCTTTCTGAGGTATTGGACGGGGCTAACATACTAAAACACGCCCCCTGCAGCTGTCAGTTTTAACAACAAGCAGAAATGGTGAGCAGGGGTCCGTTCTTCGTACGTGGATTACTCAGTTAGCTGGATTTAGTACGATTTGACATAATACAGGATCGTTTTGTTGTTCAAAACTGATCTAAGAGTTGTTGTCATAGCAACAGCTCTGGAAGCTCAAACCTGGTCAGGAGCAGGCTCATTTCATATAAACAGGATTAGATCGGGTCAGTTCAAGCAAAGAAAATACTGAAACTATGTACCAAATTCTGATATTAAGTAGTAGTTATATACACTTGGGAAAATAGTAGATATTTTAACCATATATATATATATATAAAGTTACATATATACATATATATATTAATAAAACGTATGCAATCTGCACCCCCGAAATGAAAGAACAAAGACTGCCACCTGCTGGTGCAAAAAGAAAACTTATTGATATGAACTTTTTAGATCGCTTTAGTCCAATTTGAGTATGATAATAGACACAACATGTGACTTCTTTTTAAAAAGCAATGATCCATTTATGCAGTCATGAACATGTTTTGACAGTTAATATGACGGTGATTTGATGCTTCAAAAAAGTTGCAGACGCCTTTACCAATGTCAAAACTCTTTTGTAAACATCCAGGTATTCTTAACACCGATTAAAAAACCGGCTACAATAATACTACTATGGCTACTATAATAAGGAAAAATGGCTATAACAGTAAAACTAAATCAATTGCTCTTGACACATGAAAGGGCCAAACATGCAGCCCACAACAAGGTGTAAAGTTATTGCGTATCATATTTAACAAACCGTTTACTACGAATTTTAATGTCATTTTGCTCACATGGAAAAATAAATATTAATCAGATGATGTCATTGTGCTGCAATATAAATGAAAAAAAAAAAAATATATATATATATATATATTTTTTTTTAAATTAAATTATATGTATTATTATTAAATATTATGTATTTGATGTCCATTGTAATGGACGCAGGGTCTGAAGGGGTTAAACAGAAATTGGGGGAAAAAAATAAACAGGGGGGGCGAATAATTCAGGGTTGCTAATAATTCTGACTTCAACTGTATAAGACAAAGTTGCATATAAAAAATAAATAAAATTAATTATACTAATAATGACCAGTAAGATAAAGATCACAGAGAAAAAACAAAAAAGAATAAATAAAGCAATACAGTGACTTCTGAAGATAATCAAATATAATAATAATAATAATAATAATAATAATAATAATAATAATAGTTCACAGGGTTCACATGATCACATTTACTGTTAATCTAGTATAAGTTTTCTTAAACAGCACAAATAAATACATCCTTAGTGAGTAGAAAGACTTCATTTTAAAAAACATTGAATCATATATCAATGGAAAAGATCACGTACATTGTCAAAAAGAAACTAAATGTGCTTGAAGATAACTGGAGACCTTTTAATAACTTCCTAAAGTACAATGTAAATGTTGACAGTCTGCTACAACAAGAACAAGCTTAGGAATATGGGAAGTCTCATGGTCTAAACAGACTCAGGAAACACTCTCTACCTGATTTAAACATATCCCCTTTTTTATTATTTTTTTATTATTATTAAATTTATTTATTTGTTTGTTTATTTATTTTTATTTAATTAAATTTTTTCTTTTTTTAGGGGAATGGGTTGTTGGGAGGGAGAATGGGGGGTGAAAAGTTTGCTGTGCCTTCATGATTATTATTCTGTAATTGTGTAATCTGTTGTGATATGCAAATTGAAAAAAAGTAATAAATATATTGTACAAAAAAAAACATTGAATAATCCAACAACCCCAAGTTTGTAATTGTATCATCTACATGGCTTTTTGTACCTTGCCGAGTTTAGATGACCCAGCCCGGACGCAGGACACCTTCCCACCCACATCTCCAGCAAACACCCGGAGGGCCACGGTGTCCCAGCACAGGGATGTTACGGTCACTCCACGGTGCTCCCAAGACACAGAGGCGCGTTCCGGACGTCCACGGCGCTCCAGATGAAGCTCCCACACCACCACCAAACCCTGACTAAGGAAAACACACAACAGAAGAGTCCAGACTGGAGAACACAGACTCCTGGAGAACATGTACATGAAGGATTAAGAGGAATACCTGGTGGCCACAGCGATAAAGTCCTCATCATGAGGGCAGCAGGAGACCTGCGTGATGGAGCCTTCCTGGAAAAGATGAAAAAAAAAAAAACAAACAAGGGATTTTAGTTTACACTTTTTATTGTTTTTGCCATATTTTTTTTATTTTCATCGACACTTTGCAAATATATTTGTTTTACAACAATGATCTGTGTGCATTTACACCGTATACAAAATAAAAGGATATGTATATATTTTAAAAACTTCTTAAAAACATCTAAATGCTCCTCCTTTTTTGGTTAAATCCATTTAAATGTGACTATTATAATCATACAGAGTTCAAGGTCCAACAAATGTGTACTGAAGTGTATCAGTACAGATCGGTGAGACTGAAACTGCATTGTCCACACAAAAATCATTGATTAATCATCAACTTCTTCCTCTGTTAATTCCACATCTCTGATGTAACCGATGAAAGGACTCCACACGTTTTCGAATACATGCTGTTTAGCTTTTAGTATGCAAGTTATCTTTTCTAATGGCAGACTTGACAACATCTGTCTTATCCATTGAGTAGTGTTTGGTCTTTGCATATTTGTCCATAGCAAAGCTTTATATCTTTTAGCATAAAGTAAGCTGAGGTCTATAAATACTTCTATAATTTGTGTTTTCTGGGTATACACTTTTCATGTTTTTATACCATGAATTTGTTTTTGTCATTTTCATGCTCTCTGTCATTTTTTTTTTCATGCAAGTATTTTTTCATGCATCTGTATTCTGTATTTTGTTCATACCATTATTTATTTTATGCATCTGTATTCTGCATTTTGTTCATACCATTATTTATTTTATGCATCTGTATTCTGTATTTTGTTCATATCATTATTTTTTCATGCACCTGTATTCTGTATTTTGTTCATATCATTATTTTTTCATGCACCTGCATTTATTTTTATGCAATTTTTTTTTCATGCACCTGCTTTTTGTATTTTTTCATGCAATTATTTTTTCATGCACCTGTCAATATAGATTTTTTGGTCTTTTTGGTTTTCATACCATTCATCTTTCTTTCTTTTATTCATTTTAATGAAAATAAAAACATCCAAAATACACTATTCAAACACATATATCTTTCTTCTAAATAGCATCATAAACCTGCATTGCATTTACATATCTTTTTATTCATATCTATATTCTGAAGGTATTTATACTGATATGTTCATATATAATTTGCCTGATTATATACAGCATTTTATTTTACTATAACTGTGATTTTCTCTTTGAATTAAGAAGGGATTGAAAGATATCACAAACACTCCTTTATAAAAATCTCTGACTTTGATTGCATGAAAATTAGCACATATTTAATTAAATGATGCCTTATTAGCATTTTGAAAAAAAAATTGAACTAAAATAAAATAATGCATAATCCACTGTAAATGTGACTATGAGATTCATATTTATTTATAACATTTTAGATTATATATTTATATAATAATCATAAATCAAAAAATGTAAAGTTTATGGAGCAACAATATCCTCAATATAGATTATTAACGGATGCCATGTTTTGTAACATTTTCTAGTAGATCCTCTGAGAGAACATCATGAGTTCCTTCTTTTACCCTATTCACCTGAAGTGTCTTGCTTTAAGAATAATTTAAGAAGCATCCATAGACAATCAAGTCCCTCAATCTGGTGCTCCTGTTTTCTTTTATTAACATGCACAATTATTGCTTTCCTTCTACTTGGCAACCTAGCAAAAACACTTTTCATGTGTCAAAGCAGAGCATGATGTAAGTGAAAGCTGATCCTGATACAATGTACTCTGCATGCTGCTGTAATGCACACCCGTGCCAATAAAACACAGGAAGAACCAAAAATGAGCCATTTAGACCGTAATATTGCAATGTTTATTATTGATTAAACGACTAATCTATGCGCATTGTTATTGTTTATTTATTAAGATCTCTCCTCTGATTGGTGTTAGGGGCATGAGGGTGGGGCTAACTGTCACTCAAATTAAATCCACCAATAACAAACATAAAAAATGCAAGTACAAAATAAACATTTCCCCTCTTCCGAGAAGCAATTTCTCAGGATTATATTCATCACAATAGAGCCGACATGAAACCCATGAATGCAAATACACTGATATCTACTAGATAACACTGGAGGGCAGTGTTTGAGCCCTCCTGATAGTTCTTTGCATCAGTTCAGTTGGTAAATGTGTGAAAAGAGAACTGTGAAATGTGTTAGCTGTACGTACTTTGTGTGTGAGAATGAGTTTCTGCTTCCAGCCGTCTCTCTGGATGAGGTGAAGTCCTCCAGCAGAGGTGCCCAAAGCCAGCCACTTTCTGGACACTGACAGACATGTACACTGCGGGACAGAGACCGAACATGAGATTAGATTAGATTATAAGAGAGTGAATCTCACTACATTTATCGGGATCATGTCCAGGTCATATTTTACTTTTTTTTCTGAAGAAAATGGATAATAGTATGACTTTAACAGCAATTATATAAGTCAGACAGCTGTTAGATGATGTAATTTGATGCAACAACAAAAAAACAAAAATATGCTCATTACTAAAATGCAATAAATAGGGAAGATCTTCTATCTGTAGGTAAATAGCATGCTATTTCAAGTGTGCACATTACAAACACATGCTGATATTGATACTATGTGGCTGTGGTGATTTCAGCGGTTATGAAATACATACCCTTAAGGTGCAGCTGATCACATTGAGTTGGAACAGATCTTTTAATTCCAGTTTTTTTTTTGCAAATCCTGTTCTGTGGACATGTTTAATACTTTAACATGCGGCTGTAATCAATTTCGGTGGGCCAGGAAAACTGCACTGTTACTTCACGTTGTAGTGGGCCTCAAAATCATCAGGAAGAATCTTAAATTATTTATCAAAAATTGAACTGAAAAATCATATTTAACTTTATATTTTTGTATGAATTTTATATTTATATATTTTTCAATTAAATTCAATTTAATTCAATTCAGCTTTCAGCTTTATTTATATAGCGCTTTTACAAAGCAGCTTCACATAAATAGTCATAGTAACTGGAACAGTGTGGTTCAGGTTTTAGTGTTTAAGTTCAGTTCAGTTCAGTTTAGCTCAGTTCAGTGTGATTTAATCATTACTGAGAGTTCAAACACTGAAGAGCAAATTCATCCCTATTTATCAAAATAGATTTCAATCATTCCATGTAAACTGTAGGAGAGTTTTTCAAAAGCTGCAACTCGTCCTTACTCTGAGATCCACTCGAAGATCGGAGGTCTACTGGAAAATTTCCCGTTTTTAGCAGCCCGTCAGCTCTCTGTCCACTGTCATAAAAGTATTCAATTATAACAATTTTTTTGATAGGGCAAGTGAAGATCTTTTCCATCTGAGATATTCCTTAGTGTTTAGCCCTGTGCAAGAAAATTAATGGTTTAAAAAAAATTTTAAACTGCTTTATTTCTAGCTGAATTAAAACAAATAAGACTTTCTCCAGAAGAAAAGAATATTATCAGACATACTGTGAAAATTTCCTTGCTCTGGAAATATATATATATATATATATATATATATATATATATATATATATATATATATATATATATATATATATATATATATATATATATATATGTATATATATATATATATATATATAGAGATATAGATATATATATAGATAGAGAGATATATATATATATATATATATATATTTCTCACACACACACACACACACACACACACACAC